ACACACACACACACACACCCACCCTCCACCGTGAAGCCCAAATCCTCGACCTAAGCCCAACAACTCCCTCAATCCCTACACCTATTCCCTAAAGCGTAAACCCAAAACCCTGAAGCCGTTTATTATGGCCCTAAGATTAAGAACCTGGAAAGATCCAAAGATTTCTGAGGGAGGCGCCGAAGGAGAGGCCGGAGTTTACCAAGAACTCCAACTCCTTCGCCGTGAGCAGAGCTAAGGCGTTTGGGATCTTTAGGGCTTTGTGCTTTAATTTGGGGTTGGGGGGGGGGGGGGGGGGGTATGTGCGTTTTGGATTTAGGGATCCTTTCTTTTCGGCAGGGGTGACACTAACAAGAAGGTGGCAGTGATCATCAAAGCAGCGGACCTTCTTCCAGTGTTGCCCAGGCTGTGTTCGGCTGCGAAAATCCTCGTCAGTCGTCCGAGTTTCCCCCCTGTAACGCTTTGCTCCTGCTCCCTGTGCCTGCTCCCGGCACACGCCTCGAGCAGTGCTCCTGTGACAGCCGGTGCCAGTTGACACCGCTTAGGCTTGTCCACTGCAAATCTGGCTCTGGGCTCCGGGGTGCCACCTGAGGACACTTGCTTGCTTCGAAGCAGATCCTCCGGCTCCTGTGTCCATCAGGTTCTGATGGTGCTGAGCTATGCTTTCTTTATCGGGCTTGTGAAGAGGAGCCTGTCTACCAGGATTGCCATCAACTGCATCGGCATCGGCGAGTACGCCAGAGCTAGACAGAGTGCACGGCCCTGTTTTGGAGGACCGCTGGCTGTCGCAACGAATGCGGAAGAGATGGCAGGGCCCGACTTGGGGGACCCTCGGCACTTCGATGCTGCAGTCTGCAACTTTCTGAATCGCGTAGGAAAGCACACTCTTTGATCATGTGGCCGGACATGGCGACGCAGGGAGACTACGCCAACTACGACGCACGGAACATAAACTTAGATGGAGTCTGTCTGCTCGGTAGTTTCTGTACTCAGTTTTGGCGGCTCCTAGACTAATCATCGTGACTGCCATAATGACAATCAAGACACAAACGCTGGTAGACAAATCTTGTCGTCACATACATAACATATGTTGCCACAAACCAAAGCGTGCGTGCTCTCGTTGAACGACTTGAAGGAGGATTCGATCGGTAGCATGTGGAATGACATGAATTAAGGGCTGAAGAAGGGCAGGAGGAAACAAGTTCGGTTCACGGATCAAGCGATGCAGCACGAAGGACTTCTGTGAAAGCTGGCCTTCCGACCCGCTTTCTGGAACAGCTCGCCAAGAAGCACCTGCGACAGAGGCATGTCGGGCTGCCAAAGTTGTATTTATTAACCTGGTACGAGTCCCCTGCCCGATCAGGCTGTGAGCTGGAGGAGTTTAGTGCTGATAGATTTAAGCTGAGGGCTGTGCCGTCGTCTTTCGGTTTTGCAGGCTTGCAATGAAGAAGTTCGGCGTCTGAGCTCTGAGGGAATCTCAGAGGCAGTCGAATGACCTAGAATGGGCAATTTAGGTTTGAGGGTTTCAGGTAAGAACCGAAAACCAAAGTGTTTCAGTTATAGGTTTCCCGCAAGATCGAAGGTTTGGGTCCCATTCGGCTCCAGGCCCAAACATCGAAGCCTCAAACTACACACCTATATCTTATGCCCAGCCGTAGCCCGAGGTTCTAGTGTGCTCGTTTAAGATGCGGCATATAGTCGAGAACTAACACTGGACACAAACAACATGCGGGGCCTACAGGCTTCAGGGCTTTCTTTCTGCCACAGCCTTGTCACGAAGAAAGGCGCTGGAGACAACCTGCTTCAGATCTAAGAGAGACCTGGGCCGATTCAGGGCAGCGAAGTTTAGAGTTCGCGGCTTCAGGTTCAGGGAACTCCAACCTTAAGCCTCAAACCACCAAAGATGAAAACGGTAACAGTGAAGAAATTATATCGGCGATAGTCCGGTCGTCACGAAGTAACAGCCAAGACATGAACGTCATAGACGAGGTGGCCGTGGAGTAGTCGCAAGCATTCGCAACCACTGAGACGAACAAGAACAATGACAGTAAGACCGAACAGCTGCATAGCTGCGGCTGATGGCAGTAACAGCAGCAGAAGCAGCAGCAGCAGGAGCGGGAGGGGGAGGGGGAGCGGGAGCCGGAGCGGTGGCGGTAGCGGGAGCGTTAGCGGGAGCGGTAGCACGAGCAGTAGCAGTAGCAACAGTAGCAGCGGCAACAGCAGCAACAGTAGCAGCATGCAGCGTCAGCAGCAGAACCGGCAGTGGCAGCAGTCGCAGTCGTAGCCGAGACACAATGTTGGATGCACGCAGCGGGCAGACAGAAGCAACCGAAAAGCATGACGACTATGCGTAGCTGCACAATGACGTACCTGCTACTGGTGGCTAGCATCAAGTCCTTCGCCACTACAGCACTCAGCACATGCTATAAGGTTGTAAGTGTCGATGCAACTCGAAACCCCCTAAAGCTCTAAACCCGGCGCATTGGGGTCAGGATACCAGCGAGACCCTATAGGCTTGCAGTCCGCATCCTCTCTGATACTGAGATAGGGCGTACATGACCGGAGAACATAATGACAATGACGGTTCGTTACGGTAGCTCGATGGGGCTCTGCCTCTCTAGCCTACGCTGCGTTCGTGATGTGTGGCTGACACTCACAGGGAAAGTCCGAAAGCGTTGGAAACGTTTGTGGTGCCTGGGGGTTTGCCGCGCGCGAGGTTCGTCTTTGCCAAGGTTGCAGTAGCTAAGTGTTTGAAGGCTCTTTCGTCAAGCTGTTCCGAAAAGTGTGCAGATCATCTAGTTAGCCGGAAAAAGTGATGTCAGGTTTTGGGCCCTACGCTCTTGAACCTAGCTGGTCGGGCTAAGAGGCATCGCGTAGGGCCCGAGGCCAGGAAAACATCTCAAAAGTTCGAAGGAGTCGTTGGCATTTCTTTGGGGGGACAGGGTCTCGTTGGGAATGTAGAGCATATCACGAAGGCTTATTTTCAAGAACCTTAAGAAAAAATAGCGCAAAGTACTCAGGCCCAGCTTTCGCCTGAGAGCCTCGAATCTGAAACCCTAATCTGTGTAAACCTGTGCACACCCAATAAGCCTTCATCTCAAAACTCTTAACCCTAAACCCTAAGCCCCAAATCCTGGAAGCTATGAATCCATAAACCAGGGCCCAAACTCTATGTCCCGCTGCATCTCTTTCACAAGTTCAATCAACACCTGAAGGTCAAGAGTTAAGGCCTTGGGGCTTCGGGCTACAGGGTGTAAGATCCAGGGTTTAAGGTCTAGGGTCTAGGTTTTTTGTCTTGAGGCCCCTCATCCTCGCATTGGCTAGTCGGTACTAAAAAAGCCCAAGGGCTTGGGATTTTCGGCTTGCGGCTTCGGGGTGGCTTTTTCTTGGGCCTCAGGGCCTCTCGGGTTTCGCAAATGTAAACTGGCATCGTAGAGTTTGGAGGCTGGCTTCCGGTGGGCTTTGAGGGTTTGGGCTTGAAAGCAATGCCAAACCGGGTAGTCGGCCAAGACCAGGAAGTATAGCACATCTCCAAGCAGTCATGATATGAATCTACATGTGTGTTCATGTATGTCTTCTTGAACGTGTTTACATATATGCACATACATACAGACGTGTATGTATACGCCTCATATCAGGCTCAGATATAAATCACATAAAGGGAGAGCGTGGAGATCTTTCCGAGGCTTCCTATTTGGGCGCACACGTCCTGACAACGCACCTAGGGCTGCCCTTGATCGCTCTGATTCTCTTGTGTCTCTGAATTGCGGGGGACATGTGTGTACAAAACCTGAACCTGAAAGCCTCAACCCAAAACCCTAAAGCCCGGAAGCCCGAAACCCTCAGCTCCCAAACCAAAACCCTGAACCCCTAACCCTAAACCTTGAACCCGCAAGGCGGCTAACATAGGGGTCGGAACAAGCAAGAATAACGATAAGAAGACTGGTGAGAACAATAATAACAAGAAAGAGAAGACTCGTGATAGCAGAACAACAATCCTCCGTCATAGTCCCTCATACCACTTTCCCTCTGAGCCCTATATTACCAAGCCCCAACGGCCCTGCGGTACTTGGGTCCCTGGCCGTCCGCAGCTGCGGCCGGGTAAGGGAGATCCAGATCTGCTCGTTGTTCATCGTACAAACCCTAACCCTAAACCGCTTGTGATATTGTGCTTTTGAGGTTCAGGTTTAGGGTCTAAGGATTATAGGGTTTAGGGGTCAATGGTTGACCTTTTTCATGGGGCTCTTTTAGGCCCGGAGCTAAGGAAAAGGTGCGGTTTGTGTTTTCCGTCTTGTTGTTTGAGGATGTAGGGTCTGGGGTGTAGTTTTCCTTTCTTGGTTTTGGGGTTTCGGCTGTAAGTGGTTTCTGCCAGGGTTTGAGACGGCTGCTTTGGTGATATCCGGCCTTGCTAGGCTTCTATTATATAGGTGTTTCTAGGGGCTTTGGAAGTTTCTAGGGCTTGCTCTTATGCTTTGAACCAGGATCCAGGGTTGTATAGGCTTCGTACAAAGTCTATAAGGCTTTAACAATGCACAAAATTTCCTGCATTGTAGAGGGCTATGTCTGCATTTCTTGGTTGGGTGGTTTCCGGGCCCGAAATCGCCCAAAACAAAAAGCGTAGCGGGCCATGTTTCTCGTTGTGTTCCTGCCACCCCCAACACGTCCAAAGCAAGAACTGTATAGGGTCGAGATCGTAACTTTGCTAATGCAGGCTCTACAGGTGGTAAGGTGGTGGCGTACGGTCCCGGATAGCTAATGTAGGACCTAATAATGATAAATACGCTTTTCGCGTATATTCTATTATGAATATAATCAAGAAGCCAAAATAGTAGTGGTGATTATTTAGGCCCCTATATTAACTGAGGGCCGCCTTAAGGTGCGAAGGTAAAAGAAAGCTAAGAAGCAAGCTAGGGCATTTTAGGCTGAAAGCTGGCACTTCTGATCCAGTGGATGCACCGTATTCGTCGGACCATCACGTTCATCATTGCTAAGCTGCTAAAGAAACAGTCTGCCTATCTGCCTATGCTTACGAATTTAAACTGACTCATTAAAATCATTACCATTGCAAGAACGGTTATTGCCAATACGACTAGCATCATGACCATCATCACCTCATCATCATCATCATCATCATCATCATCGTCACCCTTGGAAACCACTTCATGCCAAAGCCTCTCCCCAGGCAGCATCCTGCTCGATACACTGCGCTACAGACCTTAGCCGCTTGTTGCTCGGGAAGGCAAGGGCGGGCTCAGCTTCTTGTCTCTTCGCAGAGGGCCGTTTGCTTCGTCTTAGCTTTAAGGGCTTAGGGTGGGGCTTTAAGGTTCAGGCTTCAGGCCTACAATTCCCGGAGGAGCTTCTAGCTTGGCGCTCAGGGTATTGCTTACCCGCATTTGCAGCAATAACCTCGCTGCACCCTGAATCCGACACACATGCTTGCACTTAAGGGTACAGGTAGTACATGACATGGGGCAACCAAGAAACGCCACGCCTGTTGCTCCGCATTACCATCGTTGCGCAGCTTTTGGCAACCGAGACCCTGTTTCTTACTGCGAAGGAGGAGGATTCAAGGATCCGGAGCTTGCCGGGATTGAGGACCCAGGGCAGACGAATTTAGGGAAGACTCGATCTTAACAATCCTTAAGTCCGCAATCCCTACAATCCCACAACCTTAGAAACAGAATTAAATAAACAACCCGTCAGAGCTGTTCAAAGATTCTAGTCTCCCTCCCGTCTAAGGCAGAGGACGGCTCTAAAAGTTCCGCGAGCTTCGCTGCGTCCAGGCGCCCGAACGCCTCCACTTCAGGCTTCTCAGGATACAGTTTGTTTAGTGCTTTTGGGGTGTAAGGTATGTTGGTGTTAGGGTTTAAGTCTTTTGGTCATGCTGGTTATGGCTTGTGTTCGTTGTTTGGTGCATTCGATGCTATCTTGAGAGCTTGTTTAAAAATGCTGAGGGCTTCAGGTTTTGGATACCAACGTTTTGGCAGGTGGGTCTCGATGTTTGGGGCCCTGGGTTCCAACATGTCAGGCTTAAAGGGGTTATTGCTTGGAAAGGGTTCGAGACTTTGCGGGTTGGTGAAGGCTGGAGACTACCAGGACCCACCACAAACCGAACACCCGAGTCTAGATGCGAGGTCATGGCGCCGTTCTCAGCAGACTTTCTGCACCTAAACCTTCAATGCTTTCGGGGGCATATGGTTTGTGAGGTTCATTGTACATGTGGGGCTCTTTGTCCTGCAAGTGGCGGTCGCGGTGTTACTGCTTTCACTGTACGCACAACCACGATGGCGACATTTGTCAAAGCCACATGCCGGGTGGGAACCATAGTGGTGAAGTTGCAGCAATAACGACGCTGCATACGCAGTTATGTTCCCATGTTCGCTTCTTCTGGCTTACTTCATAGCCTATCTTCGTCGGTAACCTGCTTGCCAAACGGTCCCCTGCAAACATTCTTGTACCCCCGATGCCTCCTTCAAGCTCAGCAGCTTCTCTGTGATGATGTCCACTAACCGCCTCACGGCAGAAGGTTAGAACCCGAGCCGGATCCAGCTTGAAACTTCACAGAGGCGAGTCCGGAACTCTGCTGCGTTGGGTCAACTGCCAGAGAAGGCCCAGCAGTCTTGAAACGACCAGCTGCAGCTTCGAACCCCCAAGTCTCCAAAGAGCCACTTTCAAGGTTCATGAGTGTACTAAGGGGGTTGCAGGCTTTGCTGCGGCTTTGCTGACCTTTCAAATCCCCCTACACCATGCCAACGGAACGGCACCATGTTCCTTCACGAAAACTTTGCATAGGACCAACGGGTCCGAACCAGAAAACCATAACACAAACGAAATTTAGACTTCCCAGACATCATGCTGAAATCTTCAACCCGAAAGCCGCTGCTGACACACCCATCCCGAAAAAACTCAACTCGCAAAAAAAACCCTCAACCTGCTGAGCAAGTATGGAGGAGCTTTGGCCTGCTCATCTTGTTGGTCTTGCAGGGCACGATGCCCTGCCATCCTGGCATCTACAGGTAAAGATGTAGATATAAATACAGACACAGACACATATGGGGAAAGAGAAATCTAGATCTAGATCTAGATATAGGTTGAACGCTCAGGGTTCGGGATTCAGAGCCTATGGGTGCAGGGTTGCGAAAAGAGAATTAAAGGGACTGCTGTTTTGAGGTTATAGGGTTTAGGGTTGGAGGTTTAGAGTTTTTTGGAAGTCTTTTGTGCGTCTGCTCGAAGTCAAGCAAACTCAAGGCACATGTGCCCCAGCAGGTTTATGGCCACATATAGCAGCCAAACGGCAGCCCTCGATCAGTCCCTTTAGTCATCTGTGTCACCCTTACCCTCGGCATCCTCTGCGTCTTCTCAAGCCCCTTGACAGCCTTGTCAGCCTCGCGCGAGTAGTGTTTCGCCCCGTCCATGTAAATTAAGTGTTCCGCATGAAGCGCCTCCAAGATCGCTGGTCCCTACTCCGAGGCCCTAAACCCTAAAACTCTGGAGTGCGAAAACTGGCAAATAGACATGCCAGGCACGCCCATGAAACCCAGTGGTGTTTCCGGCCACCTCTTTATGTTGACCTGCACGCTTCTTTTGGACTGAACGGATTACTGGCGCAAGGGGCATAAGGTTCAGTGCTATGTTAAACTAAGGCGCCTGAACAGTGCTTCGTTCAATCGAGTTTCGGTTCTGCTGGAAACAAAGTCAACTCAGGGATTTTTCGGACTCGCAGAAACCCTCAACTTCAAGGGCATACACATTTTAAGCTCGGATTCAAGCAACCCGAAATAGGGTCTAGGTTCAGGGTCTAGGTCGCTTCCAAAGATTTCAGTGCTGGCAACAATGCAATTGTTGTTGGGGGAGTTTCAGACATCCCATTCCTGCGCATTTGCTCTGCAACGTAAGTCGAAAGATTGAAGATGTGGGAGTTTTCGAAGATACGATACCCTAACACAAGCCCTGCCAAGTATCGTAGTAGGATCCCTATATCTTCGGCATAGTAGGATCCCTATATCAGAGCCGGATCGCTCTATCATCCTCTCCTGGGACCCCTCAGTTGAAGACTCCGACGGGGCGATTCTCGCATCTCCTGCCAGTCTGGGTCACTGCAATTGAGGCTCCTCAGGTCGTCTTTACAGAGTTGTACAAGGTTACTAGAAGGTTTCGACAGTGCTCGATTGCGCTGCGAAACTAAGGTTAATGAAGTTTCTGTGTCGTTTAGCCACCACTCACACACCTCCAGGCTTAAAACGCACGACTTCAAGCTGTCATTCCCTCAACCCTATAAAACCACACCCCAAAATCCTGCACACCAAGACCACAGAGCACTGCAAAGCCCATCAATAAAACCTTTAACGAACAGCAAGGCCCCCATACTCGGGCCCCGGCACCCAGGAACTCAATCGGATAAAAGATCCTGGCGGCCACTTGGCTCGGGGTTTAAGGCTACAGATCCGTTTAGTGTTTACAAATTCTTGTGGGTCGCAGCCTGGATTTTTGAGGCTTTGAGTCTAGAGTGTAAGCTCCAGCGCTAAGGATTCTCGTGTAGGGTTCGGTTTGTGCAGCTCAGGTTCGGATTGGCGTCTTCTGTCGGCCGTATGTGAAGAACAGCTTTCGCGCTTGAACAGCAGTTTGCGGTGTCGAATTTTCGTGTAAGTGTTTGGGGGTCAATTCAGAGATTGAGGCTTCAAGGACCTATTTGCAATCTGCTGTCGCCGCGCATGCGGCGCGCGTTGACATCGCATTGCGATGGGACAAGCCAGTCAAAGAATGCTGGTTGAATCTGGATACAGGAATTCAGCCGTAGAGCCCCTAGTATTGCTGTTTAGGGGCAACAGGGGGCACTATTGCTCACGATTCAAGCTCCTTTTAAGACAAGACTCTGTCAAGCTACACGATTTGGTAGACTTGTTCTCCCTTATCCCGTGGCCCTAAACCCTGAATGCGGCCTAGCCGTCCATTAATCATTCACGCCAAACCTAAGCGTAAACCAAATCTTAACCGTAAACCACCCAACTTCTTCAGAAACCAAACCCGAGCCCGGATGTTCAATCATGCTGGTGGCACATCTTGACTCCCACCCAATTGGTGCCATAGCCAACGACTGCTGCAACGACCTCGGCCGCAAGATTAACAGCCAGCAGCAAAACATGCCAGTTTCAGAAGATAAGCGGACCCCATATGCTCCAAGATCAGATAGCAGAATGCTCAGTGTGATAAGCATCCATATGGTAAAATGAATCCCTAGCTGTATGAACCCGCCATGAGATGTGACAAGCCCACGGCTTGAGTCATTCAAGTTTGCCACATCCGTCGCGCCGTATGCAGCCAGGGCTCTCAACCCGAAACCCTACCAAACTCCACAAATTGGTATGAAAGACACTATTCCAAGCACTATCGAATTCATGGTTTAGGCAGTCGGCTCTGCCTTATTACATACTCTCCTGAGTCTGATGGGCTGGGTAGTGTTGAAAACCCAAATCGACCAACCTGTTTAGCTTATGCTAGGACGGTAGAAACCCAAAAAGGTAACCTTTCCACTAAGCCCAAACAAGCTTACCCTCCCCAACTATGGCAGTATCAGCCCACAACCTCAAACCTGTCTACCCCACATAGCTCACTTCCTTAGCTAGGGTAGGATTTCTGTGCTGGGCCGATAGTTCTACCCAGGCCCTCACCCTCTCCCCCTTAGACTCCTGACACACGTGAGCCTCCGTGTCTCTCCGGAATTAATCAGCACTATACTTTTTCAAATTCGGCGTTGTCCCAATTCCACTAGCCGGCCTGGGGTAAATACACCTGTCGCTCACTCCGCTTCTCCGCAAAAGCCTGTCACATGTGTATGCTAGATACTAGGCACCGTAGCTCGAAACTTTCGGCCCGGGGATGCGCATGAAACCCAACGATAACCGTTTAGCTGTAGTGGGATGGGCCAAAAACCACAGTAGAAAACACCGAAACCCTAAACCCTTGTAGTACCCTTTTCATAGCTTAAACCCTAAAACCAAGCTTACCAACCAGCCCCTGAGCTCTCTGAGCCATCCCCGAGGTCTCGGCAGGGATAGTGACGTAGGCCCACATGCCGCCATAAAACGTTCGCCACACCTGGCTTGATATAGGGTTTAGGGTTTGGGGTTTAGGGAAAAAGCCTCCTGCACAAGTTAGTGGTGGCCCTCAGCATCACAAACAGCGCAACAACGCACCCGAGCCACAGAACGCGAGACCGGATGTATCGAGCTCCCTTCCTGGGTTCCGTGTCCCGCAGAGCTTGCACCCTTGGATTCCCAACTCATCCCTCAGGCTTTAATAGGCCCACGCCGTACTTGTCAACTCCAACGCTCTACACCCACAAAAATAAAACCCTGGACGTCTCCAATCCACGGAACCTCAACACTTCACCCCCAAAGCCTCACGGCTCAAGCCACCCTGGAGCCCTGAACCTCAAACTGCTAGAAGCACACAAAGCTCGAAACATCTATAGGCCTGAAACCTCGTGACGGCTGTGCTGCAGAAGTAGAATGACCCGTGGGCCAACAGGTAAGAGCGCCAATGTCATTCAAACTGGCCCTAAACCCTCTATGCCTCTCTGGCAATAGCCACTGCAACGGGTGCAACGGCAGATCCTTAGCCGAGGCTTTCAGAAATTCGGTGTCCCGGTTTTAAGGGTTTCGGGCTTAGGGTTTAGAGCCTAGGGTTTGGGCTTTAGGGCTTAGGACTTAGAGCAACCAGTTTAATGGTTCCTAGAAGAAGGACTCTACAACTTTGGGTCTGTATGAAGGACATTCCAATTCAAGGTCCTTTATAAGAATAAGAAGGATCCTACTAATACAGGGACCTTAATAATTAGAATGGGGATTATACTGTATCTTTTATAAAGAACCCCACAAAAAAATGAGAGGTAACTCTTTAGGCTCCTATATTATATACTCGGGGTCTTGTGTGCTCCAAGGTGAGGTCAAAACCCTGCATCCTGAGGCAAAACACTTAGCCCTAAAGACCCTGAGCATTCAGAGTCTGGGCTTGAGGACCCAAATTGGTTTCGAGTTAAGGGTTTAGGGTTTAGGGGGTCCCCAAAAACTTCCAGAAAAAGTCTATGTCTGAGATCCTCTGATGTTCATGTTCGCCCCCTGGTTCCAGGAAGGTAAGCCAGATTGCACCTACAGGCCCGGAACCTTAAATCCTAAAGCCTAGACACGAAACCCTGAACCAACAAATCCCTAATTCTAAAGCCTAAGCCCAAAACCTATCAATATTGCGGTTTCCGAAATAGGGGACCCTAATATAGAACCCTAAATAGTAGGATCCTTATTAACCACAATAAGGTACCCTTATTTTCGAAAACTCCCATATCAAAACCACGCCTAAGCTACAGACCAGGCCAGCAGCTGAGGCTGACTCGAGCTTCGCTTGAAGGAAGCCCCATGTTGAACAACCACGTGCCCCTGAATCCCGAAGCCATCTGCAGCACAAGGAACTAGAGTCAAGAACAAGATTCAGGGTTCTGCATAGGAGTTTCCGCAAGTGAACGACTCCCTTAAACCTACGGAGCCCATACAAAAAACAGAGCCCGAATCCCATAGACCGCAAACCCCCAAATTTTGTGCAACGACCACATCAAGGCCCCGACGGCGTACCCGTTCGCGCGCCCCGGCGTCGAAGGGAGCAGCCTTTGACGGATTTTGCATTGGGTCTCTAGGATTTTTTTGAGTTTCGGGTTTAGCGTGCGTGCCAAGGGCTTTCTAAGGCGCCTGCAAGGGTTTTACCAGGGTCTTGTAGAATTGTATGGACATCGGAATCTAGTTGGGTTTTTGGGCTTTGAGCTTTAGGGTTAAAAGGTATATAAGTTGAGGGTCGTGAGCTGTACGCCTTACATGTATTCAGAAGTATGTCTTCATCTGCGTTGCCTAGTAATGTAGGGTTTGATTATAGGGCCTGAATAATCAAAACAAAGTTTGGGATATGTTGTTGTAAAACTGTATTAAGGAGGCCGCAGGCAAAATGCTAGGATTGTTCAGGCTCCCTACATTACGACTCAAGATCGGCAGCGGGTGGTGCCAGATGTGTTGGATAACTCTGGCAGGGTCTGGGATAACATGTCTGCTTCTTAGGGCTTTTAGGGGTTACAGTAGCTGATAGGCAGCCACGCAAACAGAACTGCCTACACGTGTGCGAACATAGATGCAACATAAACACATACGCAACCACATATACCTGCACATATGTACTGTATGTGCAGCTACCAATGCAGTACCATGGCACGTTGCACAATTTTTGTTTACAGACATGGCCACCTGCACACATGTCCTATCTGCTTTCTCACATCAAGCTGCAAGAACCCCTGAACTCTAAACCCCGAAACCCTCAACCGGATAGTGCCGGAGTGCCTGAACCCGGGCGGGGCGAGTCCGCGCCGCCATGCCATCCCCGGTCCAGGGACCCTGGGCAGGAGAGCGGAGGTGAGGCGGTAGGGCTTCTCTGGTTTAGTTTGCGTTATAAGGTCAGGCGAAGGTCGAGACTTCAATAAGGCAGCTCGACGGATTTTATTTGAATTTGGGAGGACAGTGCAAGGCAAGTCGTTGGCTTGGGGTCACTACGGTTAGTTTGAGAGAGGGTTCGAGGATTCGGACCCGCAAAGCATTGAAGATTTCCATGTTCCGGGCTCTCCTGTCACGCTCCCGGGTTGGCTCCGAACACCAAAGTTCGTAAGTAGAGAATCAAGGGCTCCAACCCCTCGAAGCTAGTTTTCACGGTTCCCTGTCAGGGACCCCCTGCATTTCGTACAAGGGGCCCAGACTTTCAAGGAACATGGAGGACACCTAAAACCCTAAAACCTAAACTCAATCCCAATAAAGCCCCGACCCTAAGCATACAAAACCATATGACATGGGTAGTTTTCTAAATGAGTCTCCCTTTTTAGGTCCCAAATATAGTACGGCACCCGTATAAAAAGGACCCTAAAGGGTACCCTACTTTAGAGTTCTCTACCCATATACGGAGCCAAAATACCTGGGTGACCCTTTTTGAGAGCTTTCGAGGCCTGGAGCCCGGCAAAAGCGCGTCCTTCGGCTCCGGGTGCCCTGCTGGCTGTTGGGGTTTAGGCTTCAGGGTCTAGGGTTTTAGGCTTTAGGCTTTAGGGTTTAGGTGTTAGGGTTTAGGGGCTTGGGTTTGGTTTTGCAGTGTTTTACATGGTGCTACAGGGGCTGCGCGTGGTTATGGGTGTGGGAGGGTTTTGTGGGTTCTTTCTGAGGTTCATTGCAGCTCACTGACTTTAGAGTTCACTGTTTAGGTCGTATAAGGCTTCTACAGCGGCTCCACAAAACCTTTATACGGGTTCGGAAAGGGGTTTAGGCCTTTAGGGTTTGGGGCGAAGGTTAGGGCGGTCAGGGCATCCCTATCCTATCCGACTCGTAGCATCACGTTGATCCGTGCGAACACTCCCAGTGGCACGCATGCCGTGACCAACATCACCAGCATCATCGTGAGAATCAATATCACTGTTCACCATCACCATATGAGTCCGTATCTGCAACCCTCTTCATGTCTCACATCTCCGTCGTACAAGCAAGTGTCGGCACGGTTTTCATCGGAATCATGATCAGAGCCATCACGGCACTCATCACCAGCTCATGGCAACACATCGTCTCCAACGTTCACTCCGGCACCGAGGCAACATGTCTCGTAGCCCTGAGACTTCGCTTCCTTCCGAACTGAGAAAACTGCCAGTTCCGCCTGGCAGCAATCAGAAGGCCTCCAGCTGCCAGCAAGCAGGGCCTGACAGCACCCTGAACCCTGAAGCTGTCTCAAGTGAGGCTTTGCACCCAGAACCCTACTAGTAGAATCCTAAACCCAGCTTTCGGGCTTCGGTCTTGACCCGTCCAGGGCTTTAGGAAGAATGTAATTAAAGGTTGAGGGTTCAAGACTTCGGGCGTCGGGCTTCGTGCTTGCTTGTCCACTGCGCCATATCCAGCAGAACCCAACACCCTTCGAACCCCGAACACAGGAACCAGCCGAAGTTGAGAAGAGCTGATGCTCAAACACGAGATCCCTAAACCCTAAACCCTAAAAAGCCCTAAACCACGAGATCCCAAATCACACCCTACATCCCACACTACAGTGAGCGAGCGTTCTTCCGCTTTACCCAGAGTAAAGCCCTAAACCCGAAATCCCATGACTCGAACACCAAATCGCAAACCCTAAATGGGAAACACTAGATCGCAAAAACACAGACCTGAACAAACATTTAAACCCCATAGCATCTGAGCCCTAAAACCTAATCGCAGGGAACAAACTCCGAGGCCCCTCACGCTGCCCGCCGCCGGCGACGGCCACCTCTGCTTGTCGGGGCTGGGGGCATCTGGCATAAGGGCTCCAAAGCAAAGCTTGAGACAACAGACCATGCCTAGATATGTGTATATATATATATATACATATGAATATAACTATATATAATTGTATATATACATATATGAATATCTATGCGTGTATACATACATACATACATACATACATACATACATACATACATACATACATACATACATACATACATACATATATATATATTTATTTATTTATTTATTTATTTATTTATTTATATAGAGATGTGAGTATTCATAAAACTTGCGTTTCGATGCGTGTGCATGTGCGTGTATGCATACTAATGCTATAAGGCACATGATACATGTGCTTTTGATTGGCTGTTCCGCTGCTGGTGACGGAGGCTTCTGGGCAAGGGGCGTGACGGTGGAGTCAACATGGTGTCCAAAAACTACCAAGCCTAGAGCCTTGCAACGGTAACTTGCTGTAAGACCCTAAACCCCAAACCCGAAAAATTGAATCCTAGTAGAAACACCGATAGGCATCCGATAGGCTATAGGGATCTCAGGCCTTGCCCTGAAATTCCACCGGCCGACGTAGACCCTGAAACCCCGAACCCTACAGTCCGGAACGAAGCGCCTTGTGTCGGATCCATAGCATTCAAGGAACACACAGAGGCCGGCGACACCTGAACGGAAGATGCCACTAGGTGGAGGCGTTGAATCCGGCTTTGTCACTTATTCAGACCTTGACACGAAGGAGGCATCCATGTTTAGGGTGTAGGGTTTCATGCTCACGGTGTTTTTTGGACTGAGGGGTGCGAAGGTGTAGTTCAGGGTTGGCTCTGGGGCCATTGTGGGCGTTGAGGTTGCGAGCTTGGACCAGTCGTGACAAAAATTTCAGAATGTAGTTTGCAATATCGATTGCGCTGAAGGTAAGCCAGACTCAAAACCGTGGAGAGCTTACTAAAACACCAAACCCGAAACCCCACACACCTAAGCAGTAAAACGCGAAGAGCAGTTTGGTCCCAAACTGAGGCCTTGCAGTTCGACTGCAAGTGCCGGGGCTCTTGACTTACTCAAAGTCCTGGGGCTTAGATCTCCAGGGCAAGTTGCAAGTCAAGTAGGAGCCACAGTAATCGTTTCGCTATAGCCTATTATGGCAACATCATGTTCAGGATCTCTGAGGAACAATGAGATTAACCAGTACTCGTCGTTCGCTTGAAACAAACTCAAGCCTGGCACCCAAAACGTCCACGGAAAGTGCAAATCTTTGGAACCAATCAGGGGCTGTGATCCAAACGCACGCCTTCGAACCTCCGGTGCACATCCGAAAGAAGACCATCCTAGGCAGAACCATCAATACTTCCACCCCCCGGCCGCCCTCAAAAAACAACATCAGCCCTACCCAGCCCTGCCTCCGCAAAACGAGGCCCAAGCCAGGGCTGAAAAGAGCCGAAATCGATTGTAAGTGCCGCGCTCGTCAAGCTCAACACGACTTGCTATAATGACTCATCATGACCCATGAAAGTTCTGATTCTGGTGATGACAACAGGGTTTCCTGCCAGCGGGGCTCCAGGACTTGGCGCTTGGAGATTCGCGGCTTTGAAGTTTGTGAAGCTTACAACCTACCGAAAGTCCGTGCAGAACCACCGGCCTGTGCCTGGGAGAGGAGAATCTTTGGGCTAGGAATCTTGGAATTTGCCCTGCTGGGAAGTTGGATCATAACAGGAGGTGTCCTGAAGCCGTCGACTCTTGTGCTTTTAGCCACAGCACGTTGCCTGTCGCTCAAAATGGCACCCGCGTAGCTCGGGGCGCAGGAAGGCAAGTGGAGGCGGAGGCTGGACCAGCCACCCGGGTGGTTTTAGGGTGGCCTCGGGCTTAGACTTTCAGATGATGAGTTTTTTACCGATTCGAGTTCTGAGCGTTTCCAGAGCTACGGATGGACAGTTAAAGTTCAGGGTTTCAGTAATTTCAGTTCCCTACAGTCCCGATATAACTGTACCATCATGGCCCTCAACAGCCCTGCAACCCGTGTCAGGGAGTGAGGGTCTCCGGGATTGGGGTTGCGGGTCTAGGCTTCCGGGTTTAGAATGTAGGGTTGAGGGTCATAGGGCTTTGGAGTCAGGGCTTAGGGAGGACACGAAGCGTACAAGTATCCGATTATGCTGCTGTAGAGAATCCTCCATCATGAGTAATGCCAGCTGACATACAGGAACGGCTGAACACTCAAGACCTGAAGCCCTAAAACCTAAACCCGAAATCCAAACTCTAAAAGCCTAAGCCCTAAAGCCAATTGATTTTACCGTTGAGTGGATCTGTTCAGAAGGATTAGGGTTCAGGGCTTGGGAGTACGGTCTGGGGTTCAGGGATCATGCTAGCCACTGTCTAACATCGCGGCTAAGAATCCCGATGCGCACATTCTTCCAATCCCTAGCATACACCCACTTCATACATCGAAGCTTCTGGCTGAAGGACTGTCTTTTCGCTGGATTTGCTTCCAAATGAGAGCCGCCTGCTGTATTAAATGGCGGCTTCGGTTTGGGGTTTTGGATTACACCTAAATCCGAGACAACAACCCTAAACCAGTCAAGGCTATCACCACACCCTACACCCTAAACGCCCGAGGATCGCCTTCCGTCCGCCCCACCCACGTCCGGACGCGCTGAAATATGGGATGGGCCATGTCGGCACATGGTTCAGTCTCCTTTTTTCAAGGGCCCCTGCATGGAGACTCCAGAAGAGGGAAGTGCTATGAGAGTAAATGAAAGCGTTGCTGGCTTTGTCGGGCTTCGAATTGTGGGTAGAGTTTAGGGCGTGGGGCTTTAGAATATAAGGTTTTGCTCGTGTGTTCGGGGCTTCTGGGTGAGCAATTGGAAGGTCGGCAAGACTGCGCAAGTTCTGTGTTTACCTTTTTCTTATACGGGTACTGCTGGCAATTGTACTTTTCCACAAGCTTCAATACACAGCTGGGGGTTTGGGGCGGGGGGAGCCACAAAAGGACAAGAAGATCAGAACCTCAAACCCTAAACCCCCACCCCTGAACCGAAACCACATCGGAAGCACCTGGGTCCCAATTTGAGGTCTCCTTTCAAGGGCCC